GGAAAACACTACAGAAACAGCTCTGGGCAGAGAAGATTTTTGTGGAGCTAATGCAATTCAGGAACCCCGTCACTGGTTTTCATGCTGCCTTCTCTGAGCAGCTCCCTCATACACCAAGGAGAAGCTTAGACACTATCTTGATTAAATACAGACACCTCCTTGTGAACTTTGCTACCAGTCCTTGAAATGTATCCCATCTCAGCTTCTCGGTTACAGCCCAGTGTTCAGGAGCAGTTCACTTGTGACTGTCAGGTATGGACACTGCATGCAGCTACCAGGTTCTGTCTTTGCACCGCTCCCTACAACAATAATTGGCTAGGTGTGTCCTGATTCCCACTGACTAGTAATTGACTTCTAACCACATCCTTGGAAGGATGATGGATAAGTAAATAATGGAGAGGTGGGTAGTGTATCAGTCAGAGTTTTACTAGAGAAACATATAACACAAGATATACAAATGTATAAGAAATTACAAGACCGGCTTACGATGGATGAGGAAGCATGCCGAGGGTGTCTGCACACTGGAGGATGAGGTGTTCAGTCCAAGGTCTGGAGTTCACTGCAGTGTCCATGCTAGTCCTTATCAGGAGGCCAATGTTTCTGCAATGCAGGGCTGAAGGATCTGAGATAGAAGCTCAAGAGTGAGCTAGAAACCAGGAGATGATGTCCAAGCTGAAGGTGAAGACTGGAGCTCCTCTGATGAGCAGAAACAAGTCTGTCCTTCCTGATTTCCCTTTTGTACTGTCCAGGTAATGAGCAGCCCTAGGGCGGGTCCTCTACACCCTCAGGTGTAGAATTGCTAAGCTGATTTAGTTAAGTTTCTAAACTTCCCAGGTTTATACAATGAATGAATCATTATAGGTAGATAGGTGAATAGATGTACACATGGGGGTGGGTGGCCTGGATGAATGGGTAGGTGGATGGATGAATGAATAAATGGATGGTTGGAAAAGTGGATGGTGGCTACATAGAAGGGTGGATAGGTTGATGGGTTAATGGATCAAGTGCAGGAGTGTATTATCGTTGCATCCTCATATTGATACCCAAGGTAATTCTGTAGTGCAGGGGTCCCAGGGATTCTGCTTTCACAGGAAATATGTTCAGGACAAAGCTATGTTTAGGTTCAGTAGAAGTTTACCTTAGAATGCCATTTCAGGCACTAAAAGACACAATATTCCCTACCACATAGTAGGGACAAAATTAATAGTAGCAGAGAGAAATGAATGAATGAATGAGTGAGTGAGTGAATAAATGACTTGAGAAACCCAACAATGGCTTCCTCTGACCATGAAATCCAACCTTATATTCTGACTCTATGTTTATACTCCAACACTAAAATTTCATTCCTTTGTCAAACAATTAGGTACCCAGAAATATCCTTCTATGATGCGAAGTGTTCCTAGATGTTAAAAACATTAAACCCTTTCCATCTGTTTTTCCTTTTGCAAGAATGTGTGGGTCACATTGCTATCTGTCTTGATTCTTCCCTGGTGAGGTTGGCCATGGGGCAGGTCCAGAGGTTTCTTTGACTGGGATAACAGGCTCTGAGGGCAAGTGGGAGGGGCCCTTTATGCAGGAATCACCAGGATTTCAGGAAGGACCACAGGCTTCCTTCTCTCTTTGCCTTAGGCAGCAAGCTGGCTTAATGACTTCTCTCAGCCCCTACTCCCAGAGACTCCATAGATTTTTTTTTTTTTGGTACCGGGAATAGAACTCAGGACCTTGTGCTTGCCAGGCAGGCGCTTATGCCGCTGAGCTGTATCCCTGGCCCCCTCAGCCCCTGCTCCCGCGTTGAAGGGAATCCCTCACTTGTCCCATGGCTTTCTACAAACTGAGCAGAGCGCTGAGGCGCAGAAAGAAATGGAGAGAGAGTAGGAAAGACGAGACACACAACAGTAAGGAGAGCAGGGAGGAAAGAGAGAGGAGCTGGATCTGAGCAGAGCGGGAGAAATAAAAAACAGACTCTGCAGCACAGTGTCTCAGGTAGTAATATTACCATTATCTTGCCGGCACGGATGTGACAAGACCACCATCTACTCATTCCGCAGCGTGAAAAGGGAACACATTTCTATCGGTGTCGTCGGAAGCCCGGGCAGATGCTGTCCGAAAGGGCTCGCTCTTCCTGAGATGTGATTTTTCAATAGTGCGTATTGTACTTTTTTGCTTGGGGCTGGGGAGAAGAGGAAGAGGGAGCTGGTTGTCCTTTTTTGGGTGCACTTTTAATTTTAGCATTCTTTTTCCCAGCGAGGGTCACACTGAGCTCCTTTGAGTAGCCATGGTCTGGGGCCACGCTAAAGCCTCATGGCTAGAGCCCATTCCTCCCAAACCGGGCCGGTGGCAGCCAGTCCCCCCGCCCCCATGCTACGGTGTTGTTTGTCCTTTCCAAGCCCTCTGCTCCACTCTGCCTTGACTGAACGTCCCTGTCCTGCAGAGACATGTGCGGCCTGTGGGTCAGGGAAAGAGCACGTTCCTGCGCGGCTGAGCGAGGCTGGGGAGAAGCTGCACCAGGTAAGGCAGCAGGCACCGTTTGTGTGTGAACCAAAGCCACGCAGTGCACAGCTCCCAGAGCAAACACCACCTTGCCCTGGGAAGGCAGCCAAGGCCCGGAGCCCGGGTAGGAAATCCCCTGCGAGAGGCCCTTCCTGAGCTCCACAGCAAATGGCCCTTTTCACGGGCTCGGAGTCTGTTCCCTTCCAGCCGCACTGCCCACATCACACCCGCTTCCTGCTTCCACACCCCGTTCCCACGCAGAGTGCCCCCGCCCCGGGGCCTCCCGGCTCTCACACCTTCTCTGTGCTCGCTTCCCGGCCTTCCCCCATCCTCAGAGAGCCTCTTCCTTCCCAGCCTGCGCCGCGCCGGCTCACAGAGTGCTCCACGCCCCGAGCTAACATCTCCAGAGGCTCTGCTGGGGGCGCACGGAGATGAGTGGTTGGTCTTGCCAGATTAGCAAGCAGAGCAAATTCCACAGGTGCCTGTGCCCCTAGGTTTCAAAGTTCAGACCCGATAGATAGCAGAGTCGAGGAGGCGGAGGCAGCCCAAGATGGCCCGAAAGAACAACAACGATAGCTACTGTCTATGGAGAAATCATCAGCCGGCTGGAGATAATCTAAAATCTTCAGGCGAATTTTAAAATTTCATCCTTGCAGCAATGCCGGGTGGTAGGTGCTATCACTAGCCCCATCTTAAAAGCAGGAAAATGGAAGCCCAGAGAAGTTAAGAAACATGCCCAGGGCTGCAGGTTAGTAAGAGGCAGATCCAGAGTGTGCCGCGTGGGGTTTCTGTACCGCCCACTCCTGCCCTGGTGTGCCCTGGGAATGACAGGAGATCTGGACTGCAGCCCCGCTCTGCCGCTCCTCAGCTGAGGCACTTCGGCCAGCCACGTTGTTTCCCCAGTCCTCTGCTTCCTAATCAAAAAAACTATGGGATTTAAGGTGATTTCTTAGAGCTCTTACCTTACAATGGTGGTGTGGCTTTTTCCTAATTTAAAAGATCTCAAATCTCCAAAGTTTCCGGACTTAGCTGACTCCTGGCAGGGGGATGATGCAGAAGCCAAACTGGCCTTTGGTGACCGCTAAAGCCTCCCCTCTGTGCACCTTTCCCTCAGCGCAGATCAAGCCCCTGCTGTCCCCTGGGCCCCAGGCAGAATCCCAGGGAGATCGCAGAAGGCTTGTCCGTCACCTGATGACTCAAAGGACACGTGTGCCCTGCACTTCAGAGCAAGCAAGCTGAGCTTCTTTTTAAAGACAGCGGCCTGTTCAGTGGCCGAGCACAAGAAACTGATGGAGGACCAGTCAGCAAAGCAAGAGAGTGGGGTGAAAAGAAAGCTCTGCAAGGCTGCGTCTAAACCGGGCCCTCAACAGGTTATAAGGGGTACTAGTCACTACCCAGACATCTAAGACACTCTTCTTTGTCCCCGCAGAACCAGCTGTCTACAAAGAGCAAAGCTTCAGATACCTACGTTGATTGGGGGAAGCCAAAATCGAGGATTTATCTCAGCCAGCAACTGCTTAGAAACTCGCAGTTCAAGAGGAAGCTGTGTCAGTTATTCAAGAAAAGAGACTCCAGCTGTACCACAGGAAAGGGCAGAGAAAGAGGTTGATGAAATAGGTGTGGAAGTTAAGGACATAAAATTGATTAAGTCACAAGCAAATGTGTGTCGATCAAGGGCGGTCTGAGCCCGGAAGCATAGCAGTCGTGATAGTACAAGTGCTGTCACGGAATTAACAGTGCTACTACCTGTTAGGGGATCATTTCAACCTGATTGATTGGCTTTGAGATCTGCTCGGGGAGTTGGGGCCACACACTGCTGGGTATGTTTGGGTGGGTCATTAAGGCCTGGCCTTGGGGTCTCTGTCGGGCCCTGGGCCCTTCTTTTCTGGCACTCTTCCCCTGCTCTGTTTCCCAGCCACAAGGACATAAGCAGCTTTGCTCTATAGTAGACTTCTGCCATGATGTCTCTGCCTTGGAGCCAGCAGATCAGGGACTGAATCTGTGACCAGGTGAAACCTCTCCTCTTTTAAGTTGGGGGAGGGAGGTTGGTGTTGTGTGTCTGTGACAAGAAGGCTGACTACCCTCTGAAGTGAAGGGCTTTTTTGGTATTTCAAAAAGGTAAGCACAGCTTCGTGTGAAATTCGTACTCTTTCTCTCCTTAATAAAGTTATGGCAGCTGGACATGGTAGTGCATGTTTGTAATCCCAGCACTCAAGAGACTGAAGCAGGAGGATCGTTGTGAGTTCAAGGCCAGCCTGGGCTGCAGAGTGAGCTCAAGGCCAACCTGAACTGCATAGCGAGACCCTGTTTCAAAAAGACAATAAAATAAAATAATAAAGTTATGGTTTCTTTCACATTGTACTTAACATTGAGGTTACAATTGAAGACAGAGGAAGAAGAGAGAGGAAGAAAAGAAAGAAAGGAAGGAAGAAAGAAAGAAAGAAAAGAAAGAAAGAAATGAAAGAAAAAAAGAAAGGAAGAAAGGAAGGAAGAAAGAAAGAAAAGAAAGAAAGAAAGAAATGAAAGAAAAAGAAAGAAAGAAAGAAAGAAAGAAAGAAAGGAAGGAAGGAAGAAAAGGAGAGAGGCTTTCCTTTGAGTGCGTTCTTTGGGGCAGAGGTGAGTGAGCTGACCATGCCATTCAGAGGCAGGGGTGGGATCATGGGAGCAATATAATTGACTTGCTGCTAGTAGGTGGGGTCTGCTAGGAAGAGCTAGGTCACACTGTGGATGTGTCCCTAACAGGTACATCTCCCTTCCTGGCTCCTCCCCAACTCTCCGCTTCTGGTCTTCCATCGGTGGCACCTTCTCCTATGCTGTGCCCCTCGGCTACCCCGTCCTGCCTTGGAGCCCTCTGACTATGGACCGAGACCTCTGCAAACTGTGAGCCAAGGTAAACCTCACCTCCTTTACTCTGTGGATGGCAGGTACTGAGTCTCAGCAATGGGGAAAGTGACTAAGGCGCCATGCTAGGAAGCCTTTGGTGACTGCCCATTGCCTGCTGCAGGGAGACTGCATCCCTCAGGTTGGCTTCTAGGAGCTCCACGAGCAAGTGTTCCCCTTCCAACCTGGGTCTGTGGTTTCCTGGAAACTAGTGCGTACCCAGCCTTTTTAAACTGTACTCATTCACCAATGGTAGAAAATGTGTATCATTTTTGGTGTGTTCTAATGTGCATACTTATTCTCATTTTCACATCATATTTAACACTGAGGTTATAACTGATATCATGTTGTTCTTTATTTCACAGCATATTTTTTCATAAAATAAAAATGTATCATATAACCAAAGGCATCTCAAATTTGATGAAGTACGGTGAATAGAATTCTCCAGATTTAAGCTCTAGAAGCTCAGCCAGAGGCTGAGAACCTGTATACCCACTCTCACACTGGGTCCTGATGTAATGGGGGGGTCTCAGGTCCCCTTAGCATAGCCACCTAGCTGTAGCCATGGGTAATAGTCAAAGTGTTTAACAACCAAGCCAAGTAGAACAGAAGACAGCTGAAAACAACTGGCGTGGCTGTCCTGGAGCTTACCTGCTGTCTCCAACACTCACCACCATATTTCTTGTTCATTCCTAACCCTTTCCCAATTTGCCCTCATTCTTCCTTTGGATATTTGATTGTACACTCACGTCATTTGGTCTGCCCCTCAGTCCTAGAAGATAATACCCAATTAGTCTAAGGCAACCATGATTATCCAACTCCTTTGTCATCACTGGCTTTAGTGGTAAGCATGTGTACTAATTCTCTATTTCTGCTGTAACAAATCACCACAATTTTAGCTTAAAACAACACAGTTTTATTTCTTATAGTTATGTTGGTTCCATGTCCAGGATGGGTCTAAATTGGCTAAAATTGAGATGTCCACAGAGCTGTGTTCCTTTCTGGGGACTCTAGGGCAGATTTGGTTTCCTTGCTCTTTCAGATGTTGGCAGGTTTCAGTTTCTTGAGGCCGTAGAACTGAGGTCTCACTTTTCTTGCAGGCTGTGAGGCAGCGGCCTCTGTGAGTTCCTAGCAGTCTTTCTCTGGTCTGTACACATGGGCGTCTACATCTCAGAATCAGTAACAAACCCTTCTTATTCTGCTCTCTCTCTCCCTCAGCTGGGCTGATGTTCTTAGACTGAGCACATTAGACAAGCCAGGAGAACCTACCATCTCAAAGTTCACACCCTTGATCACTAAGCCGCTGTTGCCATGTAAGGTAACATAGTCACAGGTTCCAGGGGTCTGGAATGTGAACATCTTTGAAGGCACTATTTTGCCTTCTACAATATGGGACTCATTCTGGTGAAAATAACATGTAAGGAAAATCTGCTGGAATTTTTTTTTTTTTTTTTTTGAGAGGGAGTCTTGTTATGTAGTTCAGGCTAGCTTTGAACTCATGATATAACCCATGCTGGCCTCAGACTTGCGGAGATCCTCCTGCCTCACCCTTCCAAGTGCTGGGATTACAGTCGAGCGCCACCATGCCCAGCTAATCTGCTGGAATTTGTTTTTTTTTTTCAGCATTAATCTGCTGGAATTTGGAGGAAGGATTTTGCTCCCTGTTTGAAAAGAACCATTGCCACTTGCCCTACTCCTATCTACTCTGAAGTGATGTGAGCTGTGGAATAGGACATCAAGGCCAAGGATGACAACTGACACTGCAAGAGCAACGGTGAGAGGATCAGAGCGAAAAGTTAGAAGGAGCTTGGCATTTTGGTGTTATTGCTGAGTCACTGAGCCAGCCTAAAACCACCTACTTCCGGGCTTCTTGTGACTCTTGAGTATCTTTATTGCCCTTACTGTTAAATGTTCTTTTACTTGTGGCTGAACTCATCCAGTTGAAATTTGATTCCTTCATTATCGGTCCATTCCAATATGTCTTGACTTGCTACTTGGTTGTCTCCTTGCCTGTCCTTCCTAGTGTTTTGGGCCTACGATACCACTGATATCCAGCTTTTCCTTAAGCTTTATAGACTTGTTTTTGTTTGGAAACAGGATCTCCATATGTCGCCAAGACGGCTCATGAACTCATGGGCTCAGAGGATCGCCCCACTTCAGCCAGCCAAGTGCTATGACCACAAGCATGTGCCGCCATGCTTGTCTGGTTCTGAGGTCCTGCCTAGTTCTTCCTGGCCGCCTTTTTAGCAGCAGAGTCATCCCTTGTATTTCTAGTTATGGTCAGAGAATAGCATTGACAGAGCAGATCTCCCACTCTCCTTGACACTGCCTGCAGATTGTGCTGTGCAGAGGACTGAATTTTGTCTAAACTAAGGTAGCACAGAAGAAAGAAAGACAGGTAAAAGGAGACAAGAAAAATTGTGATTTTAAAGTTGTGCCTTTAAGAAGACAGCAACTTCAGGACGTGTCTGTTCAAGGTTATTCGTATCTGAGCTCCTCATCTTTTAGTTTCTAGGCTTTGTTTTTCTCATAATCCCTCAAAGATACAGAAATCCGTAAATTAACCTAGTTGATAAGGTAAAGGGGAGCGATCTGAGACAGAGACTGAAGCAGATTCAGAGAGTGTTTTTGAAGATGGGAAGGTTAGATGAGGATGGCCATGGGGGTGCTGGGGGTAGTGAACAGCATCAAAAGGAGGGTCGTATGTACTAATTCCCCAGGATGAATGTATTTACTGCATATTGCAAACATGTACTAACAAATTAGAGAGGAAAAAGTGAACACACAAAACTGTTGAGAGTAGTATGTCTGCTGCCCTTATCACTCTGCCTTATCAGGCCCCAGTGCTGTGTCTGGGTCTGGCTCTTTGCTCTGTTTGGGTGTACTCCCTCGCCAGAGCAGCTCTAGGAATTTGACATAAATTATTTGTATGCATGCTTTGATTCCTTTGCATGTGTTGACACACCATATATAACATTGGCTCGCAGTTTTTACTTGATGTTTATGATATCTAAGGCACATATCCTTCTCAACCCAAGTTTTTAGTACAGTGTTACAATTTTTCAATATGGTGTTTTTTCAATGTTATCTTAAAAATAGAAACAAAAGCCAAGAGTGTTTTTAGGAAAACATCTTAGGTCACCCATCTTGGTTGTTTTGTTTTGTTTTGTTTGTTTGTTTTTGAGACAGGGTCTTACTATGTAGTTCAAGCTTGCCTTGAACTTACTGTGTAGCCCAGGCTGGCCTTAAACTCATAGCAATCCTCCTGCCTCAGCCTCCCAAATGCTGGAATTACAGCTGTGTGCAGCCACAGGCAGCCTCAGATTGTTATCCGGTAGCTCCGTCTAAAAGTGGCTTGCCAATTAAACGTACCTGGGCTCTGGATTTCTCACTTCTCCCTCAGGAGTTGGATTTGAGGTTCTTCCTGTCTCGAACAAAAAAAGTGGACACAATGAGCAAAAAGCTGTGACAAAGTTTATTTGAAAAAATAAAAGTAAACAACGAGGAAGAAACTGGCTTTGCAGAATGAGGTTGGGCCAAGTAAAAGGAGAAAAAGCAAGATAAAGTGACCCTCTGAAGGAAGCAGGACAGGCCACCAGGGGAAAGTCACAACAGTGAGCTCCTCCTGGCGTCTGCATCTTTATATGTTCTCTAAATCTTGGGGAAACCTGAAAGAACTTGTACCTATGGATCCGGAGGTGCTGCTGAGATCCAGCGCCTCAGACTGACATCAGGTCTAGGCTATCCTATTTTTTTTTTTGGTCTTTTTTGAGACAGGGTCTCGCTGTGCAGTTCAGGCTGGCCTTGAGCTCACTTTATAGCCCAGGCTGGTCTCAAACTCGCAATGATCCTCCTGCCTCAGCCTCCCGAGTGCTGGGATTACAGGTGTGCTCCACCATACCCGGCTTAGGCCAGCCTATTGAAGATCTGCTCAAATCCTGCTGAGAGGTCCATGTGCAGAGCTTAGGGAACTGTTCTGTGCATATGTTCTGGGATATTGTAATTACTAGGTCATGTGTACTTCCCCAGCCAGCTTTTCTGCACCCTAATCTCCAATCTCAAGATCACCCACCCTAAAAGACACTGTGGAGAAGGACATTCTTTGATTAGAAAGCACTGAAGACCCTGAAACCTTTTACCTAAAGATAAGAGTGTATTTGATTTGCAGGAGATCCCTATTTTTTAGTCTTGCCATGTAAAGATTAATGGGAAGTAAGGACTGTGATTGTAGTGGATTGATAACTGGTGGGCCACTTATAACCCCCAGGTGAACTGACTGAGCGTGGTGCTGGGTGTGGGAGGCCCACCAGGGGATTGTTGCCAGCAGCATAAGAGGCAGAATTGGAGAAGGATAATGCTTTAATTACTAAAACATTTGGTATCCACCCATTTGTACTAGCTACATCCTTGGTTCTCGCTCAATAAAAGGTGACAGATTGGTAATTGGGGCTGCAGTCTGAGAGGCCGCAAGCCCCCTGATCCCAGACTTTTGCCTCTCTTGTTTTTCCTTGTCTCTCTTACTTTTTCTTATTATTCACGGGCACCTCGTTCTCAGGACCTGTCACCCTGGATAGAACGACAGGATATCTCTAAGACTACAGAGAGGAGACTACGGAGAAAAGCACTATGGCCTGAGATTGGGGAATATACCCCAGGCCTCAGTGCTCCTCTCTCTTGAGGGCCTATGAGGTAGGAGGTTGTGGTGTGGCTAAGATTATCTGGGCAAGTAGGCGTAGCCCGTTAGTCACAAAATCCTAGGACACATGTGCAGAACAGTTCGCAAAGCCCTGCACACAGACATCTATGGAGAACTAGAGTAGGTTTCCGATAGGATAGTCTAGATCAGAGCCCACCTCAGCAGGGAAACAGAAAAAGGACAGTTACCAGTGAACTCAATGGTGCTGTTCCCTTCATGGTACCCTGCTCTCTCTTGTTGAGGGTACGTGTGCTTGTCTTGACTAATTCTTTGCTCAGGACAGAAAGAACCTAGAAACCACCTCTGGAATGAAGCTCCGGCACCCCCAAATCTGGTAACACACTTACTCTATTTTCTCTGAGTACTATCTATCTAT